TAGAGTCCTGCTGCTACTGCTGACAAGAACCAGCAATGCACATTCTTGCTGTTGTGAAATTACTGATATATTAATTGCTATCTGTTCTGGATGCTGCAGTTGCATTTTTCATGCGTGTTTATTGCCTTTTGTTGCTGCCTGCCGAAGATACTGTGGGCAGATCCTACGTCTGATGCTTTGTTTTAGTTGCCTGGCTACTGTAAAATGTTATCTTAGCTTTTGCTGAGGTGTCACAGATGCTTTCTTGATGAGTGTCCAAACAAGGAAATCTGTAAAAGATGCTGGTGAATGCTGTGCTTGCCTAATGCTCTTGCTTTGGCTAGAGATGCCACAGTACGCTTACTTTGCTTCGCTACTACAGACTATCTGTACAGTAACGTAGAAGGTAGACTGAAACGTTTCACTTACACAGTGAGGTCATGGTCAATACCAAAGGTAATATGAACTGTATCTCTGTGTGCAAAGGAACTGTTGTTGGAAGGAGATGGTGGGCAACTGCTTCACTTAATTGCAATGCATTCTTTTCTGGTAATTGTTACAAAGCAAATGTATTTTTCCTGTTGACTGTATTGCCAGATTTTTCCCTTCCTCTCTCCCTGTGAAAGTCTCCAGCAGAGAGAGATTCAAATCTCAAAACTTAATTGGGATGTTGACTTCCAACTTCTTCCCTGCCAAAACCTGAAAGTAACCAGTATTTCTTCTGCTCTCTGCATTTTCTGTTTATGCCTGCATAACTTTATCTCTTTACATCACCAGCACTTCTGACTAAATTGTTTTCTTGTACTCACAGTTTGAAACCTCTTCTAAAGTCTCTGAATAAGCTGTGTTTCCTCCCAGTCAGTCCAAAAATATTTTGTCAGCAAATAAATAAAAATTACTTTTAACAGCTTTTTTACTTCCTTCTTTAATGTTATTTGCAAGCCTTTTCTTAATTATTCTTGCCTTTTGGCAGTTGCAGTGCATTAATATTTACCAGATGAGATATAGTTTTCTGTTTATATTAGCAGTCCTCTGTCTGTGAGATCTGGACCAACCAGAATGCAGGATATCCTTTCTCATCGATTCATCAGGTTCATAATGTAAGATACAGCAATAAATGGCTATGTTGTCACTCTATGGATGTACAGTCTGTTGCCGTGGTGTTATCTACGGGTGTCACGTCGCTGAAATGACCAAAAAAGAGTTTGTAACGTGTCCGCCCTCTTTGGGGATTTATGTGTGCGCGCATTCGTGTATCGTGCCGTGTGGTTAGCATCTGTTGGCTGTATGGTGTACATACAGGACACGGGGGGGATTGCCAGCAGCAGTCTCGCTCGGGGGGAGCTTTGACTTCTGTTCCAGATGTTTTTGTTTGCTCACTTTTCCAAAGCGAGAAACCGTGTAAACAGCTCGGTTTGCACAGTTTCACCCCCACAATGTGTTGTGCTGCCCTTTCTGTGTTAATCTATAGGCTGTGCCTAGCTGAGGAACAACGCCGTCTTTGCGGGGGTGCTTTTGGGGAATTAGGGGTAGCGTTGATGGTGCTCTGAATTTTCATTGCTCCTGTGACCGAGACACATCTGCTGTGCACGTGAGAGCAGACCTGGTGGTCCATGTTGCAGCGTGGTAAGGATGGCAGCTAGTTGTTCGGATTTCACTAAGCATAGGATTTCAGAGGAGCTGTAGCTTTCTCCTAATTCCTGTCATCTCACTGCCTCCTTGGAGCATTTCTACCAGAGAGGGGCCGTTTTGGCTACCGAGCTTTAGAAGCTTTTAAAACATAAGTACGCCACAAACCTGTTTCCATTATTTCACAAGCCAAAGATACAAGGAGCTAAAAACCCCATTCTCTCGCTCTAGGAATTAAAACCTTAAGCAAATAGCAAGGATTTGGCTGGTCCACAGAACATTTAAAATTCTTACAGGGGGAAAATTATTAATTTTTCAGCCAGAAGTGTTGTATCTATGTGTGCTCCAATTTATTGTTGTCATGGTGACTAATGCATGTTACCATAACTAGGCATGAGGTTTTAACAGGTGAAAAGTTATAAGATGTGGTCCTTGTTAAAAAGGACTACATTCAAGCCACTCAAAACCAGCCTTTTTTTTTCTTTTTTCCCTGTATCATGGAGGGTTTTTGACTTGACATTTTTATAAAAAGATGAGGCAGGTGTTGGATGTTATAGAAGTTGTCTTGAGATTACTTCTTACCTGTGACCACCTCTGCATCCAGGTATCTTTAATGTGAGTCAAACACAGTTCTCAGAGAATGGGATGAGGGAGGAAAAATGTGCAACAATTGTAAAAAATTACCTAATAGCAGTAGTCTGCTTCTGTAGCTCATTTGACATCAAGCATCTGACCCTTTCTAGAGCACTGAGAAGTGCACGTCTGGCCATTTTCAGGCTTATGAAGCACTGCAAGAGCATGAGACATTGGTCTTTAAGGCTATGACCTTTATGGTTAAAAGTTGTCACGGTAAAAGTTTTGAATCTTTACCACTCTGGCACGTGACTTGAGACCTTTTTGGGATTGTAAATTCCTTATCTGCAAAACGTGGAGCAAAAAATCTTCTTGCTCAAGGTTACTGAGGGCCAAGAGAGGAAAGGCACTGGTTAAAGGCATGGGGAGGTTAGAATGCTAAAACACAGGCAGTACAGCAAAAAACACGTGATAAATTGCACAGCTGTCTGATGAGCTGTAAAGTTAGATGAGGAAAAAATTATCTCTTGCCTTTCTACTTCATCAGAGATATAAAAATCTCCATACGTGTATTGTGTCATAAAAAATACATAAGCTTAAATGTTTGATTATTTCTTATAATTGCAAATTAAATATTCAAACCAGAAAATCCTTATCCTATCATATCTACTTTTAAAAATGAAATCAAACAACATAGTTGGTCCTGCACGGCAATTTATGAACATTTCTATGCTGCTTGAAAGTGTTTTAGGTGCTTATGAAGGTCCTGAATCTCAATACATCACCCATGAGTTGTTCCACACCAATTCCTTGGACTTAGAACTACTAGTAATTTGTATTTTTCTACCCCAGACTTGAAACTTGTCATTTCCAGTCTTCTGTAGGTCAAAGATGTTCCTACTTTGTATTTTGCCTGAAGTTAATTGCCATCATAACATTCTAAATCTCAGAATTTCAGTATCTGACTAGAGTCAGTCAGATGATGAGCTCCTTTTCTTCCTGTAGAGGTTTTTAGGCTCAGATTTATGAAAGTATTTAGCTGTCTAAATCTTGTTTCAAAGCCTTTCTTCCCTTTAAAAAAAAAAAAAAAGAAAGGAAATTGTATGGGGAATATGTAATAGGAATTACATTTCTAATCATCTCCATCTATCTGGGCTTTGGAGACCACCCTGTTATAACTCAGTCTAAATAGGTAATGAATATTAGCAGTAGTATGGTTTAAAAGTCTGAGGAGTTTGGTAAGAAAAAAAAGGAAAGGAGACCAGAAGCCACTTCTGATGAATATTAAAACCCACTTACAATACAGTTACAAAAGAAAATTTTTTGACTATGTATAACATGTCTTCTTCATCCATCATAATAATCTCTACCTAGGATGTTTAATTTTATGCAGCTTTTCTTAGTAGCTGCTCCCTCTACAGGACACACTGAAATACACGGAAGGTCTCCAGGTGCAGTGGTGTGTCAGGAGCAGCAGCGATCCTGCATCTCTGCGATCTCTTCACCTCAGATGTATTGCGTGTTTAGATCATCCTAGAGACATGTACAGTGATCATATCAATTCTGGTTTGTCTAATTTAAAAGGAGTAGATACTAGGATGATTGTATATATTTACAAAGCAATTAATGGATACAAACGAATGGTCTCCACACAGTCCCTCTCCAAGTGTCTCCTAGTTGAAGATTATTTCTCATTTCCTCGATTATTCTTTCCTAGCTCCTTTGTAAAATTGAATCAATATGAGAGGTAATCACTGTTCCTCTTGTTACTGCCCTTCATTTACAGACAGAAGCAACGTGATTCTCCATGGCTTTTTCTCTTTTACGTAAAAGGGAGTCAAACTGTAAAACGATGTACTCGTTTCACTCCTTATGTGCCCTGCTTAATTTGTCAGTACTGTCCATTTTCTGCATGCGAGGAAAGTCACCTGCAGGCCAGCACAACAAAAGGGTTTGGAGCACTACCCAGGGTCACTTAGTCCGTAAGAATTCTGGTCCTACCTCATGGCCATCCCCGTGCTTCCTCGGTGGAAACACCGGTGGTCAAAAGATGTACTTTTATAGCTTCTCTGTCCTGAATTTGCTCCTCTTCCATTGTAGTAACCTTCTGCTGAATGGATAGGATGTTCCTCCTGAGATCTGCTTCCTCGCACAGAACATGCAGGAGTGTATCTTTATTAGGGAAAAAAAAAAAGGACTATTTCAAGTGGTCTGTTAGCTATGGCCTTGAACAGTTCATAAGAGGCAGCTGAGCACACTGTGAGAATTTGTGATGGGTGCAATCCATCTTCTCTTGTAGTCAAATACAAACTCCGCTAATAAGGATGCAGATCCTTACCCCTTGTCATACATTTGAAACCTTATTTTTATAAGGAGAACTGCTTCTTAAAGAAATCAAATTCACATTTCAGATTAAATATGATAGAAGCTTTTTACACATTAGTGGTCAGAAAAGATTCATTTCTGTGGCTAGAGAATGCCAAAAATCGGAGCAATTGCTCCTGCTGCTTTCCTTTCAAAATTTGAGGTTGAAGTCATATCCGTAGCATATAGGCAACTTAACTAGGCAAAACAGAAATTACAGTACTGTATAATTTGTAGATGTGCTAATAGTGCCAAGATTAACTAGGTTCGACTTGTTTTATGGTGTTCACTTGCTTGAAGTTACTATATCGGCAGGGTAATGTTGATGTTTCCAGATTTATCTCTTGCTTTTCATTGCAGAGTTGTGCAAATGTGTGTCATTTCATTATTTTGTGACACATGAAAATGATGTACTTGTTTTGTTTACTCTGTCCTGATTTAATTAGTAGGATGTGATAGTTTGCCAGACTTTTGAATGTCTTCGATAAGAATTTTTTCATGTGTTTTTGATGCTTAACTTCTTTTTGCTTTAAAAGTCTTAACTTCTAACCATATTCTGTGTGAAATGCTGATGATAATTCCTTGCCAGCTTCAACACATATTTTAACAATATGACATGCATAGAAAATACACAGAGATAAGTGCAGGTAAAGAAAGAAGTAGCATAATCCAAACTGAAATAATCATGTAGGAGAGTGTAAAATAGTTTGAGAGAGAACAAGCAGGGGAGGAAGGAGGATCAGGAAGGAGAAATCTGATCCCAGAAGACAGAGGAGAAGGGAATTCAGAGCCAGACCAGACCAGACAGGTTAGGGGAGAAGTGGGGCTGATGACAGAGGGAGGAGGGCTTGGAAGAGGAGAAGGACTCCATCCACAGGTTGTGTTCAGTTCTAGTTTGCTGACGCTGGTTTGGCAGCATCTCTGGTGTTGAGGACATGGGCAGTGTGGGCACATGTGAACCAAAAGTAGTAGACATCACAGTTTAAAAATAAATAACCTCAAAATAATAATTTATTTTGCATGGGCCTGCAAGGTGGAAGGAGCCCCCAAGGGCCCAGGGGTCAGTCCAGGTCCAATAAAGCCATGTCCAAAAATATGCAACGGTAGGTGAGAACCAGGCAAAGGGATTTGGCAGCAAACTGGAGTCCTACCCGTGTTCTCTGGGGGCTTTGAGGAGAGAGGGGAGATGACAGCTCAGGAAGGCGATCACCTATATCGATGAGAATGATGAATGTGGAAGGGCAACGTTAGTAATTCTACAGTGAGACATCAAGAGAAGGTGATCAAAGTAAAGAGATTAAAGAATGCCTCATATAGTTGAAGAATGTATAATAAGTCTTCAGATCAAAGCAAAGTCTCCGTTATTTAGCCATTTAGGAAAGTTAGTTATCAGTTATATGTGCTGGATAATGGAGGACTTATTAACTGTGTAGAAGAGCTTGTAAAACACATAGCGGATTTTGTGAATGGCATTTTTGTGCATCTCATGATTTTTTTTGCAAGTGCTCTCATCCTCCTATATGTATTGTAAACAGTTATTTTTAAGGAACATTTCCAGTGCCTAATGATTTTATTCTCAAAGCAAATAGATTTAATTAAAGCCTCATTAAACACTACAGTAGATGACTTTGGATTATAAATTAAATCATGAAAAATATGTAGGAGTTGTATTCCCTTACTTTAGTAGCATGGTTCTGTGTGTAGAAAATAAATTATTGTTAAATAAGCACAACAATGGAGGGCTACTTCATAGCAAATTTGCCTGCAACTTCTCTTATATCTCGAATAACTGTGATTTTCAGACAGGAGACTGGGGAGAGCCTTCAATTACCTTGCGACCTCCAAACGAAGCCACAGCATCAACGCCTGTACAATATTGGCAACATCATCCAGAGAAACTCATCTTCCAGTCATGCGATTATAAAGCATTTGTAAGTGTTGATAAATTTAGTGGTTTGATTTGGGGTAGATATATTAATTTTAGATTTTGATAGACTGTTGGTTTTTTCCATTTTTAATGTTTTTTCAGTCACTTTTAATGAGACAGGCCACTTCCTCTGAAATGCTGTAATTGTAATAAATGAGAAACAAGGATGGACAGTACTTTTTGCTATGAATTTTGCGATATATAGCAGTCCATGTAGCAATAGTGTTAGAGAAATGACACTATGATTAAGTGGCTAAGTGTTGTAAAGTGACAGTGAAAGCAAACAGCCCTGCTTCTCATCTGTCACAAATCTCTGTCTAGTACTTACGGAAAAATAAGAAAGCATAATATATGATCCTCATGCCTACCTTAATGCTGTGTGCACAGTAGTTTAAGTAAGTATTGCCTTGCCTGAATTTTATACACCCATTTTTGGGGAAGGGAGCTAGGGAAGATGGGGATCAGGGTCCTGAAGCAGTGTTTTCCATCCATGGAACAAGGGCACGTTCAAACCTCTCTCCAGTTGATGACTACTTGAAGCGCCAGTAGCAGCCAGTTCCTTCAAGGCAGGGAGTATTTATTTTTACCTCCCGAGAGCTGTAACCGATTCCCACTTCACATCCCTGGAGAAACAGAACTTCCCTCTACAGCTAAAGACAATTAGTGTTCTTCAGCTGTTTTAACGCTGGTGAAGGAGAGGAAGGTCTCCTGAAGTACAGAAAGTCATATTGCAAGACTTTGTTTTTTAAATGAAAAACACCTTTCTGAAGCCTTGTTTCCCCATCAACAAGGCAGGGGAGCTGGTGCTTCTGGGGAGCTGAAGAGGTGCCTCAGCCCACCTATTTAAACTCTTAGATTTCCCTTTCCAACTTTGCTGGAAAGCGCTGTTAAAATTGCAGAAGGTGCTTCCCAGACAAACTCTGTCCTCTTCAGAGGTGGCCACCTAATAAAGCTTATTACTTATTTTACAAAGGAAAGGGGCTGAGTAATTGTAGTGCCTTTAGCATAATAGCAGGGGGTTACCCATTTGTCCAGGATGTGGGTTTTAGATCCTCTTCACCTGAAGGAGCTTGGACCCTTAGTGCTTTTTAGAATAATGCTCGGTTCACCAAACACTGGAGCATTTTGGGGGGAGAGCTGGGGGCTGATGGACCTGATCTAAAACATATGAAGACAGGCTGAGACAGTTGGGGTTGTTCAGCCTGGAGAAGAGAAGGCTGCGGGGAGACCTGATTGCGGCCTTTCAGTACTTAAAGGGGGCCTATAGGAAAGATGGGGACAATCTTTTTAGCAGGGCCAGCTGTGACAGGGCAACGGATAATGGTTTCAAACTAAAACAGGGTAGATGTAGACTGGATGTAAGGAAGAAATTCTTTACAATGAGGATGGTGAAACACTGGAACGGGTTGCGCAGGGAGGTAGTGGAGGCCCCATCCCTGGAAGCATTCAAGGCCAGGTTGGATGGGGCTCTGAGCAACCTGATCGGGTTAAAGGTGTCCCTGCTCACTGCAGGGGGGTTGGACTAGATGACCTCTAAAGGTCCCTTCCAACCCAAAGCATTCAATGATTCTATGATATCTGGAAAGGTAGGAAGTAGAGACTAAGCCTGGGTGAGACAGAGGTTGGCTCCCACTGAGGAGGGGCAGAGGGGTGGGGTGTTACGGGCCTGTCTTGCTGGAACACGTCTGTATCTTCCACCACACCTTCATGGGGCAGAAATTGCCATGAATGCAGTGGTTATTCCTGGACAGTAAGTAGAACCTGTGCCTTCCTCAGCAAGTCACAGTGAAGGTCCAGCTTGCCTGCTCTCAGTCTTGCTCTCCTCCTATGCAGCACCTCAAATTGAAAGGGAAGCTTGCTGTCTTCTAATTCTTTAAATATTTTTCATAGTTTTCAGTAAAGTGAACAGGTTTATTGCGAGAGTGCCTCTTATCTCATTACTTGATCCAGCAGTAAATTCATAATCAGGTGTAACCTCTGTAGTAGATTGGAAGGTGTGTGGATCATCAACAAAATGAAGTTGGGATGACCAGGAATATCCAAGTTACTGGTGATTAAGGAATCAGCAAATTAAAATATCCAAGTTACTGGTGATTAAGGAAACACCTTCTTTTCCTAAGGACCATGTGTCACAGCACTGTCTCAGCTCCCTTAGCTGTATTGACCTCAGCTTTATAGAGTAAAGCCCTGGCTTGGAAGTTACAATGGGGGCAGCTTTCACTGTACGCTACCTCGCTCAGCTGGACGGTTGGATGTCCTCTGCATCACTCCCACATGCTCTGGGTCTTTGAGAAGGAACATTTCCAAAAGCACAGCAAGTCATAGGAAAGCAAAATTCCCTCCTAGAATTTCAGATTTTCCTGACAACTGAATTGGACAGTACCTCTGTGATTTCGGTGGCTGTTCCACAGTCCACCCTGGGAAGCATTTCTGAATGCTTGCAACTGAGGTTTTTCGCTGCTGTGCAGATGGGACAGGTGCTGCCCATCTCTTCTCTTTCTTCCTCTTGTTCTGCCATGAGCTCAAAAGCACTGCTTTTGATGCCTGACCAACTGGTAGCTTCCAAGGAAATAACAATTTATTGTGCCGTAGTCCATATAAAGAGAATAAAATAAAAAAATTGAAGAAATGAATTATATCCTTCCCAGAGAAGGCTAAGGATGCCAGAGGTCAGACAGCAGGATCCAGAGAAAGATACAGTTCAACTCAATACGCTTCTGTTTAATCTTCTAATTTCAGAGATGGCTTTAAATTCGTTGCTCTTCTGCAAGGGCAATATCAAGCCTTCCCATCAAATTAATGCCCAAAGCCCTATTCATGTCACCATCAACCCCCAGCTGGACTTGCAGCTGCTTGGTTTATGAATCTTTCACGTCTGCAGTCCTCCAGGAAGGGCCTTCATTCGTTCCTTTCTGTTTGTGCTTATCTGGTAGTGCTGGTGTTGCTCACCCTTCCATTTATAATGCCCTGTAAAGTGTTTCTCACCAATTACCATGTTGGCTACTGTCTACATTGAAATATTTATGCATTTTCTTGCAGGTCAGAGACTCCTGCTGTACACACAGTGTGAACTGGAGGCTTTAAAGAAAATATCCCTGTTTAGGTCAGGAGACCAGAGAGTTGAAGCCGTACACTTTCTGTTCAGTTCCAGCTTGCATTCAGCTGTAACTGAAGTTATTTTTGATAGGTTCTTGTTTAAGATGAGGTTGGTTCACTATCTGGTTAGGTCAGCTTAGGCTGTTTCCAAGGGCAGTCAGTATGGTAGAATGAAAGGGGTCAGGCAGTGGCGGTGTGCTGCAGCATCCTCTGGGAAGAGGCTTGTGACTACAGTGCCTTCTCTCCTCCTGCAGCTCACCTACCCCATTCTCATCCATGGCATGACTTCTCTTCAGCTCCTGTCTTGCTCACTTAGGACTGAAAACTTAAGCGATGGCATTGCGCTGCAGTGGGAATGCAAAGAGCAATGTCTCTGTGACTGGGGAGGAGAATATGAGGGGTGGCTTGCTGTCCCCTTTCCCCAGTTAAGCCAGACTTGCATGTGACACCATATAGAAATATAGGGACATCCTGTTTGCACGGAGCTGTATGAACATGTGCATATCCACAAATGCATGTGCCTGTAGCATCTATAGGAGAAATGCAGAGCATGGTTCTTGCTCAGCCCTGCTAGCGGTAACAAGACCGCTCGCTGCTAGGCGAGAGCGGCAGGGTCAATACAACCAGCTCCATCCCTGGAGGAGCAGCACCATTCAAACATGTAGAAGGGTACTGAGACCCCCAGAGGAACAAATCCAGAGGAGCAGAGCCTGCTGTCAGGGTGCAGGAGGGCTCAAACTGCACATGCCAGCAAGTGACATGAGTGATGAAGAAGCAGGTTGGCAATAGGATGTGTCAGGGACAGACTCACTGCCTTGTGTGCCTCAGAGGTGAGCAGGCTCATCTGAGAGCACCGGTGGCTTTCAGTGAGCTGAGCCAGGACCCAGCACCAGCACCCAGCTGCTTCCTCTCACCCAGTCCTTCTTCGGATCAGTAAAGGCTTCAAAATAACAGGTCAGGGTCAGCCTTTTCTTAGGAAGAAATAACGGTTTAAACTAGTTTTCAGTTCAGATTTATTTTCTCTGTTTGCTGACATTGGGCTCTGCTATTTGCACATAAATTAGTTACAGATTGAGTACACAGAGGTGAACATCGCTGCTGGCCTCCGCATCCACGTGATGGCACACACAGCAATATAAGTTTGGCAGATGGCAGCTAAAAAAAGCAGATTCTCCATTTTTTAATCAAATGGCTTTTTGAAGATGGAATCTGTAGTATTTGCTCGTTGTTTGAGTGACTAAGATGATAAGCTAGAAGACACTCGCATACCGTTTCAGAGGGCTCCATCTGATTCAATACACTTGTTGCTGTGCATTCCTGTTTCATAGGTTGATTAACACATGGGTTTAAATGATTTATCAGAGAACTGCAGCATAAAAAAAAAACCAAAAAAAAACCTAAAGCAATATATTAAGTTGATCACTACCACTGTGCATATTTAGTGCATTTCTGCAGATGTTTGTCTGTTCTGGAATTTTAGTTAAATTAAGTTTAATGGATTTTATTTTAGTATTTAGGTTCTATGCTGGTAAAAGAGCTAAGAGGCACTGAGTCAACACAGGATGCGTGTGCAAAGATGAGGGTAAGTTAGTAAACCTAATCCTTTATCATCATATTATTAAGTAATACCAACTTGTGATTACTTGTACTGTGCCCTTTTTGCTTTTAGAATGTTCTGTTACCCATTTGTTTTCCATTGCCCTTGCATTTACATTGATATTCAGTAGGAAGTCTACTCTGCTTTTTGTCTGAATTTCAAGTAATATCAAAAATTAAAGGTAGAGGGGGGTTTCTTTGCATATTGTATCTAAGAAAAAACTAAATACATGTGTTATGTTTTCTCTTGAATTTTCACACGTTTCAAAGTACTTTCCACACACTTTAAATGCGCCCATATCACATTGCTTTTATAAACAGAATTTATAGCTCATATATGATAATCTTGATTGAATTTACTATGTGAAAATATGTACTAGTAAATATATTAACTTTTTACCAAAGCCATTGTTTTTTACATATGGTCTAATCCTAGAGCCACATAATCCTGTGGCTGCCTTTACTCACATGAGTATTCCCATTAATCCTGAGTTAGTTATGCACTTAATTGATTGAAGGGTGAAAAGGGATTTAATTCGGTTTCACCTGGTAGTGGAAAAGCAGTTAGGTTGCCTTCAGACTGGTAAGAATGTGTTTTCCTGTGGCTCTTTGGCCTAATACTGGTTTGCAGAAAATTGCAGTGAGGCTCAGTCTATCTCAAAGAAACATAGTGCTGCTGGAAAGTCGAAACAAGCTACAGGCCAGCTACACAATTTATTCCAAACTGTAGTTTTAATAAGAATGCACCTGTTCATAGAGATGGCGAACATATTATGGTCTAGCATGATTAATTAATGAAGAATATAATTGTTTGGTAACCTACCAAACGTGTACAATTACATAGATGAATGCGTGAAATTCTTTCTTCTGTGCATCGTAAGTTTTTTCTGCAAGGTGCCTCGGAGCCCTAGACATGGCACATAGATCAATTAGAAAGCTGGAAGATGTGTAAAATTCGTGCAATCAGGCAACCATTTCCTACTGGTTACATAGCTGCAGCACACACACTTTTATAGAAGCTGTTTTAGCTAAAGGCTGGCAGTGATTCACGCTTACTAGATCGCCTGAAGATCTGTGGCTTTTCAGCTAATTACATGCTAATCATTCCTTACCTGGGCTTAAACTCCTCTAAAAAAAAAACCCAGCGACTTAACACAGAGGGATCTACAGTCGCATACACGTGTTCTGGGGAATGAATTGAGGCTGCATCTTCCAATCCAGTTTTCAAACTGTCAGACTTAGCAGTTCAATTTTTTAAGCTTATGCCTGTGCAGATCTTAGGGCAGTATTTGACACCATAGTAGCATATGACAACCTCAGTAAGTTATCTGACTGAAGTAGGAAGCTTAACATCAAAAAAGTAACTCTAAATAATTTAAAGCCATTTTAAGATATTTTTTTAAGTAATAAATTTGGCAAATTTAAATTATAGACCTGAAAAATTAAGTGTTTGAAAAAAAATTTAATTTAAAATACAATTTTTCTGTAACAATAATGGAGTTGCACTAGTAGTCTATAGTGCCATACAGGCCACATATAATACAGTGATGAGGTTTATATACATTTATTTTTACATTCTCTTTTGAAACCATTGTGCTGTGGGAATGTTTATTTTCTGGTTTGAGGGGTTTTTATTGCAAAGAGGTTTGAATAAAACAGTTTTTAATCAGGATTTCATCTATTCTTTCTATGTACTCCTTTTAATCATATTCCTATTCAAGTCAGAAGCAAAAAACATTGACTTAATGGGAACAGATTATTATTTTAGTGTAAGTTTCCCAGTGAGAAAAATTTATCTTTTTCCAAAACTTTCTCCCTCTGGTTGTGTTCTGAAAGTTGGTGTCTATGAATTGGGAGTCCAGGTTGTCTTAAGTCACCCTGAAGTTCTGCTATGATGTTCATTATTGTATTTAAGTACCACTGGGTCAATGAAAGTGTGGCTGCTTTTATAGTTACATTTTACTTTAAATGTACTGAAAGGGACATTTCACTTACAAAAAAAGTGAAAAGCTGGATATATTATTTGACTGCTTCTAAGGTACTGAATTTTGTCCACTTGTCCAGTGTCTTTAGGGTCAGTAGATTTTTGCATAGAGTTGTACTAAGGTGATAGAGCAATATCTTTTAATTTTAGTGGGGTTTTTTTCCATGTATATATTTCAAATCTATAGCATGCTGCAATCTGAAACATGTTGGGGCGGGGGGAGTACGTCACATATAATGTTATACAGCGTTGAGGTTCTTCCCCACAATTTTTTAATCTTTCTGAAGTCAGCCACATAATAGATTTTAAGGAGAAGGTATGAAGATTAGATACCTAATTTTTCTGTCAATGTGGCTTTAGTTTCTCCATCTTTAACCTAATGCTGCTCAAAAAAGTGTTGATATTCACTGGATGCCTTCCAGTCAGCAGATGCACAAGGACGAAAGAAGCTGATCAGTGAAAAAAAAAGTATCTTGATCTTCCTTAATCATTCACAGATACAGAGAAACAACAAAAATTACATGTTTGCTGACTGCAGATCCCTCTCTGTTAGTTGTAGATGCTTCCTGTGCTTTCAGTTATTGCAGCTGATGGGTTTGGTTCTCAAGGGAAGTGTCGTGCAGATATCCCTCGCGCCTCTCCACAGAGGGGCTTACAGTAACCTCCCTTGTGAAGGGAGATCCTAAATCTTCTATAATGTAAAAAAACCCCAAACAAGCAAACAAAAAACTCCCCCAAACCTGGGAACCTCTGTCTTAATAACTCTTCTCAGCTATCCATTGTGCTTCTCAGCATTGTGCGGCAGTGTGCTCCAGCAGGGCATATGATGGATTTGTTTGGGGAAAATCATGCAGATGCAATAGATTGAGCTCAGCACGGGGGTCAAGGTTATACATCCTTTTTGTTCCCACCCAAATTGCAGACTCTTGCAGCCAGCCAAAATTATGGATATTTGGCAAGAACTGTGCCTGTTAGAGGGATTATACTTTATTTTTCCATTCACTTATTTGAGCTCCAAGGATGGATTTATGTTTTATGGTTTCCTATTTGTTTCCAGCTATTTTCTCTCACAAACTCCCTCTGCAGTAGACAGCACTGTCTCCTTATCTCCCTTCCCCACCTTCTGTAAACTGACCTTTGCTACTTGGAGATTAAATCTTGCTGTCCTGACCAGAATAGATTTATTAATTATATTTGAGAGATGCCTTCAAGAATTTAAGAGCTTTCATCTTTCTCAGTGTGGAATAGGAAATATTACAAGTTCTGTTTTCAATCAGATTACTGCCTTCACTTCAAATCACCATAGGAACACAAAGCAAGAATAAAATGTGTTCATATCAAAATAAAGAAAAGGAATAAAGTTTAATTGGAGCTAGGAAGAGATTTGTTCTTTACTGTAGACTCTGTCTGGCATTTACACATCTGAATTCCTTGACCAGGTAGGAAGGGGATGGTCTTACAATTACTGGCACGAGCACAGCAGCAAGGTAGACTCTTTCCTTGCAGTAACATTAAATCACGAATGTTGCATACACCAATTGCCCAGGCTGAACCAGTCAGATATTTACTTGGATTTTGTTCCTGGATCCCACTGCCTTCCTGAATATTATGTGTCTTAAAAGTTTTTCTTGTTAGAAAAGAGGTTCTCACAATTCAAGTTGAAGTTCTGGGGAACCAGCAACATAATTCTATTCACAGGGCAGGTGTTTAAATATCTTGCTGACTTAAGACCAAAATGTCAAAGTTGGAATTTTTATGGAATTTGCTTCTCTTATCTCTGAAGAGAAAGGTGAAGCAGAGTTGACTCTTCTCACTGAAAATAGACAGGGTCTGGGGCATTCCTTCCTCATTTCTTCTTACATAAAGAAGGAGGACCTGGAGAGAGATGGCAGTCTCCTTGTTTCTGCTAATCCCTTTCTACTTTTCAATCTCCATTTCATTTATCCCCCAAAAATAGAAGTGTCCTCCATAGGCCTCCTGGTGAAACTAGCCAGGCAAATACCATGTCAGGATCAAATACTGTATTTGAGAATTCAGATTCTTCGGTCTCTGTTCTCCTGGGACTTGTAGCTCTGTCGCTCTTTGGGAGGGCCTACAGTGGAACAGGTGCATGGATATTACTCAAAAGGAAAAAAAGGAACAGTGGGAGGTCTTAAAGATGTTCAGTCCTTATGCACATCCACATCATGCCATCCCATGTTCTTCAGGGGATTGTATGTCCTTGAACTCTGGCTGAACGGCATCCAAGGTGCAGGAGGGATGCGCTGCCCTTTCAGCAGCAGATGGGTGTGTACAGATACTGCAAAAGCAAAAAAACTCTAGTTCTCAAGTAGATGAGTTGCAGGTGCATCCCCAGTGCAATATTCATATTAATGATGTAGCTTGGAGGCATCCCCTAATTGTAGAGAAGTAAACAGTCTTGTACCACAGGGATCACAGATGCTATCTTATTCCAAGAGGTATTGAATTATGTCAGTGATGCATTTTTAAGCCTTTTGGACTGAGAGAAGTTAATAAATATTTGTTACAAGGCAGATTGTAGTTTCAAAATTAGCTCCAAAACTAAGTGGTCAAGTGTGAACTTTGAGTTTTTATTTCTATTTCAGCTCATGCATGATATTGTCAAAGTGATCCACTCAAAAGACGCTGTTTAATGAGGCTTCATAAGCCTTAAATAAGTAACAGACTTATGGATATGGTAATAGGTAGTACTAATACATATTTTGAAAAGTGCGGTCTGATGCCATTTAGAATTAATTGTTGCTACCAGTGTGGGAAAATGTTCAGATTCTCATAGTGAAGTGGATTCCAGTACATAACTGAGTAGTAAAATAGTCTTCAGATAGCTATTAAAAAACAGCATAGGACAGAATTAGCAGATTCGTTTGCAAAAATAAAAAGCCAAGATGAAAATTTAAGATTTTACAGGCTCATAAACTTGTACTCAAAATTTATGTATGGAATTGTTAGTGTAGTTGAATAATATGTTTTTACTGTGTATTTGCATGATTGAGTACAATTACATATGCAGTAAAACCTAAAAATGAACATGGTTTCATTTTGGCCACTGTATGAAAGCTGAGTTATCCAGTAATAAATGTATAGTATGTGAAAGTGGTCAGCGTGGCAAAGTAGAAGTACCAGTGTATCTTGTTTCCTCTTGGTAGGAAATAAATAGATGAGATGAAAGCATTTTTGAGAGTGGGCTGGATTACACTATGTGCTACAGTATATTGAGTGAATGCGTGAGCATCTCACTCGGGCACCATTCTGCGTGTGCTCCTGAATTTCTTACTCAGCTGCTTCATGTGTGGGTCTGTGTGCGCAGCGATACCGTGTTTTGTACGCTGCAGGAGTAGTCAGAAGTGTTGGATTAGTGCTCTAGGTTCTGCACAGAACAAGGTATTGCAGTATGATCCTGTCTTGAAAGGGTTAAAGGCCCTTTAGGGTTATAGGTTTTGTAGTTGCATGTATTTGCTTTTAAAAAATAAATAGCTACTTTATATTGCTTTATTCGTAGGATAAAGTCCTCTGCCCCTTAAGCCATTGTTAATTACCTTGGTTCGTTATGCATACTGTCTGGGTCGATCTCCAATTAGTTGGATTTTAGTTTATGTCTAAATAAATGTCTAGCAGTTCTGCACAGCCTTTAATTCAAAATGAAAATACAGGTGGAAATGCTTTACCTACTTAAGACAATTTGTATTACTATACTATGGAAATCTGTTTAGAGTCTGCTTGTGAGCATGGTGGTTTTTTCAGTGAAACTAAAGAAGATTCATAACAGGATCAGAAGCAAGCTTGCGCTCACTCACTCTCTCTGGCACCACTGCTCTTGCATCCCTTTATGCCCAGTTTCAAAAGGCGGAATTGGGAGGAGCCCCATCCGAGGCTGTTCAGGGTTTTGGCACTGTCCTGTGTAACAGCAGCTGTGGGTTCAGATGCAAACTCTAAAGGGTCTTAAATCCAGGCCTTTATTGTAAAAGCAAGCACTGTAATAACTAGGCAGTTATGCAGAAGATGCCTTCCAGCCCCTTCCACTGGATGGATCTCCATTCTGGGTGCTGAGGGGATGGAGCATCTTCATTGCAGCAGCTGCATCAAAATACAGGCAAGGCTGCTATTCCTGATACGCTTCATTCTGAAGAAAAAGAGGCTCTATGTCTTTTAGGAGGCCTGGGGAAGCTGAACATATGTCACATTAGATTTAGGGTGGTGGTGCTTTCTTCCGTCTTCCTGTGTCTGCAGTCAAGTTACGCATGGCCTACTTCCACATAGTCATCTACCTGTCCGATAGGAAGTATTTCAGAAGTGGGACCGCAGCTCAGTCTCTCTGGTATTGCAGAGTGTGCGGCATTAAGACTCCTCAACGACGGAGCAGTGCACCTGAGGAGACAGGGCATGCACATCTGTCCTCATGTAGAAGCCCAGCTGATCAGAGACAGGCACTGGCAAGGAGCCTAGAGCACGCTTGCTGTTCATCCAGATGATTCTCCTAAAGAAGCATATTAAAACAAAGAGCCAAAGTTGCAGTCACAAACAGCGGAGTTCATAGGAACTATGACCAGTTTCAGGCTAGTGGGCACTTGCCCAAAGACAGGGTCCTGTCACTACGATTGCTTCTACATGAGATAAAATCTAATCCTGCTACTGTGGTATGAACATGTCTTGGAGCATTAGGCCATATGTCGGCATGCACATGACATCCAATGCCAGCCTTCAGCTGTGGCTCCTATAACTTTGGCTCAAGTCCATATGCTTCCCATAGAGGCACCAGATGGACAAGAATATCTTGTCATCTCGTCATGTCCTCACAGAGTTGATACGGTGGACAGAACCTGGAAAGCCCAAGGAAAGGGAATACGGACTCCTGTGTCCCACGTTCTTCTCAGATTCTGGTCACAGGCACAGGCAGAGATGCCCACTTGGCCTGCACAGAGGTGTGAAATGTCTGACCATGAAAGCTATGGGACTTCATCTCAACATCCTAGAATTTAGAGCCAAGGCACTTACAGTGCCTAGGCGAATGGTACTCGCATCGTATCTCTGAAAACTCATGTTACACATCCTGGCAGCCACCTCCGCCGTTAAAAAGAAAAGAACAACAAGCAAATAGTGTGAGCTCACCATGACAACTCAAAACTGTTGAAGTCTGGAAACTGCTTGGAAATAATAATTACATAGGTGGGCTTCAGTTACGGTATCACTGGGAGTCGAGTGAGAGGAAGAGAGCTGTGTGTTCTTCACGATAGCACTGCCATAATAACAAAGGATGTTATTCCACTTCCCAGCTCTTTGTTGCAATGGGGGTACAAGCACAGAATTGTTTCCCAAAATCATGTTTCTACACTGGATTACAGTCTTCCCAAACACCTGGGGTTTGTATGGTTTGCAAGCTGATAAGGGACATCCCCTGCTCCTTACCAGCTGGGACAGTTTGCCTTAATAAATTACAAATGTCCATCACTCTCTGATTCATTTCCTAATTTGCCAGCTATAATTTAATAGTATCTCGATGAGCTGTTTCTCTCAGATACCGTCTTCTGGCAGTTCACGACCTCGATTAAATACTGAAGATCAGGTCTGCTCTAGACAAACCCAGGTGAATGTGGAGCAGATAAGGAAGATGATTAAATTACGAACTGCTGGTCTAGATGAAAGAGGACTCCCAGATGGTTAGTGCAATGTGGCCTTGCCACCAGGGAGGTTCACCTTTATGGCAAATGGAAAGCAGTGCAAATTAGACCAAAAAGCTAAAATAAATGAACTCAGTAGCCGTGTTTTGTATAGCATGTTGGAGGAGAAGAGGAATTTTGCTGCGAAGGAGGCGAGGAAGGAGATAATTACAATAATCAAAATGGGAGACAAAGAGCTCCTGAGTGTAGCTGTCGGGATAGAAAGAAAGGACAAAAGTTGGATGATTGCTGGTTTGCCAGATGATTAAAGTGATGTTGTCATATTTGTGAATATTTTGCCTGGTTATGAGCATATGCGGGGTATATTGCTTGTTGCTCTGATGGATGGATGTACTGCAGCTTCCGTGCAGTCACTGTCATGCTTTCTGTGCATTGAAATGGAATTTTATGAAGAGGCTCATATGAGATCTGTTACAGAGACACGCGCGCGCACACAGGTATGTACTCGCTCGGCTTTTGGCAGGGATACCATTTCTTTCTCTGCTCGGTTCAGAGACATGCAAATCAGATTAGTGTCTTCCTTCAGATTTTTTTAGATTCTTCAGGATGCTTTACCATTTAAGCTTTCATTTTTTAAAGGAGCCTAGCCTTCCAGGTGAAAGAAGCTTTCTCCGGGATAAACTGACACTTGATTGTCCCCTTGAGTCTCTTGCCGTTTGATACGGAGAGGTGCAACGGTCCTCTCTGTTACGTGGATGGGTGGGGCTCTCCTTGAAACTTTAATTAGAGGTGTTAGCCTTCATGGCACGAACGCTAATTGCAGAATGTAGCTGGATCTGTAGCTTTGAATTTTATGCTGGCAAAAATGGAGGCTCATTTGATTCTGGAAGGAACAAGATCTGATAAAGGGACTTGATTACAGGTTTTTTTCTTTTAAGCTTTTGTTTGTTTTGCTCTCTAGTGTTAGTATCACCTATTTTTCAGACACTTTTTTTCAGACACTGCCTGTGTTTTCAAGCTTATGTCTATGCTGTTTCATTTTTCTCGAAGAATACGAAGCTGCCACGCTACTTTTGTTCAGCTACTCTAATGATCTTTCTAGGTGCCAATTCTAGACCTTTCAATGTGTTTACGCTCTCATTCTGTGTGCTGATGTTTCTTCATCTTCAGCTGTAACTGAACTTACTCTTTCCTCTCAAGAAAATGTTTGATTGATCTCTATGATGGTTTGCAGATACTCCCATGAGTGAGTGTTCTCTGAACGTTAGCTACTTTATTTATCTACAGTAGCTTTCTACAGAATAGTCTAGTCCGTCATTGCCTTCCACTCAAAAGAGTTCAGATCATCTCTAAACTAATATGGGGTTTTGTGTGCTTGGTTTTGGGGTTGTTTTAGTAAATTTAATCTGTAAACTAATCAACAGGTTTTTCTGCAGAGAATCTGTCCCAAATATTTGCCCAGTGCAGAGGCAGACTAGACTAACATAACAGAAAAAATAGCCTTATAGGAAGACATGAACCATAGGTAGGAGAACCTGGCACTGAGGGAATGCAGAATAAGCCTCTGTGCTAATTCATGTGTAAAGCAGCTTCCAGTAGCAGCTGCACTCGTGGAAGTGCAGACGGTCAGACATGACAAGATACAACGCAGGACTGACAGCTTGATTGGCAGGCCTAGAGGGCTGCAGGGATACCTCGTGTCACACATACAACTGTAGGAAGGCGAGAGGGTGAAATATTTTAAATAACAACTAATTGCAGCAAAGAAACAGTACTGCAAGGAGCAACTCACTGTTGGGTTTTACAGCTGGGAAGGGCAGAAATTGGGGAGGGGAAGCAGCGACGAATGGGAAGTATCAGGTAGATGTCTTAAACACGCACTTTTTGGGAACCCCCTGATTGTGTGACTGGTCTTTTTAAGCCTAGCAAACTTATTTCATTCTCTTCCCATTGTGCTAGGAAAAAGGAGAATTTTTACCGTCCTTGCAACAAACTGTAAAGCACTTTTTAGTTTTGGAACTCTAAGGCAGCTATTTCAAAAGCCCAGAGCATAGTCAGCTCAAGAAAAAATCAAATATTTGGATAAGAACCTTTTGTTTAACTTACATATTTTGTCAGAAGAAGAGAAAAAGAGCACTGTGCTTGCAATGCAGCACAACTCTAACAACATCTTCATTTTGATTTCAGAAGTCTACAGAACAAATGAAGAAAGTACCAACCATTGTCCTGTCTGTCTCTTACAAGGGAGTCAAATTTATTGATGCAACAAATAAGGTATGTGCAAATGTTCAAGATAAGCTTTTAGTTCTCATGAATAGGAATACCTATGAGGCTGGCTCTGTAAGAGCACCAGGCCAGAGAGGAGATAGAGTTGCACTTTGTGTTTTCCTTTTTTTTCTGTCTTTTTTTTTTTTTTTTTTCCCCTCTTCTCCCCAAAATGGGTGTAATCTCATTGTCATTCTCCAGAAACTCAGTCTGGAGGACAAGTGAAGCAGCTTTAATGGCTCATTTGGAGAACATTGTGTCCAACCTTCTGCCATTGAAAGGCAAGTTTATCACAAAAGACATTTGGCAAGGAGCCTCTGTGGAATCCTTTACCATACTCTTCCCTATACTGTTCCTTAAATATGTAGAAAAAAAAATCTATATTTGTTCATTAGTATAATTTTGGGAAAAAAAAATAAAGATGTCTCAGTGAAGAATAAAGATGCAAGGTTTTATCCAGGGCCAGCCATTCTAAGAGTAAGAAACATGAGCCTTGAACATCCTTTTCAAATGTCAGAGCCTCTCTGAGAGGTGTTTTCCTTGTACTAGCCATTTAACTCCCTGAACTGCAGCAGCTTCTTAACAGTTGTTATTCCATATTTTTTTCATCTTCCTGTGTGGCAATGCCCCTGTGCTTTGTTTCTTACATTTTAAAATACATAGAGCATCTTAAAAAAAAAAAAAAAAAACAAAAACCAAAACCAGACATTGAGATTTCGGAGGACTCAGTCGTGGATAGAGCAATGGGTTATTGCTTGGCTAAAGTAAAGTGTGCAAGCTCTGTAAGCAGAAGTAATGTATGAATTTCTCTTCCTCGAATGTCTAAAATGGCAAGGAAATGCAACCCATACTGATGCTTGCATATGAATAGAAAAGAAAGGATCTTTTCTGTTATGTGACTGAAACTCACTAAGCAATATTAAAAATAAATCTGACAACCCAGCCACCTGACCAGGTTAATAATGTATAGAACTGCTTTGTGTTGCTGAACATTCAGACCACACAGTACATCTAACTCACTATCCATCAAGCTTGCCAAATCAGTCAGTTCTTAAATGTGTTTAACTAGAACTGGATTTTAAGTGAAGGAAGGAAAGCAGATTTTTGAACTTCTGCTAGAGTTAGAAGATGGCATGAAAGAAAAACAGAGGTGAAATTACTGCTATGTCAAGTCTGGCCTATTTGCCAGAGCAGAGAGGCCAGGGATCCCCATCCGCTCCTTTTTATTCTGTTGATTCAAAACTGAGCTTCTACAACCCTCGTTTTCCTTTCCGTTGTCTGACGTGCACGGCATGAATCAGGACATTGTAATGCTATTAACTCTAACTTGGGTAAGGCTGTTTCGAGCTCTTAAATCTCCTCTGTTGTATAAAGGATGTAACTGCAATGTCCTTAGGTTGACAAAAAAACATCAGGAGAACAAAAGGAGTTTCCAGTATCTCTTTGCACAGTGCCTATAATCTTATGTAAGATGGAAACTTGAAAGAAGTTTGGCAAATTGCGTTAGGTGGCTCTAGACCAGTCCCACTGAAATCTTGTGCCTAGTAGTGCAATAGAAGTATTTGAGGGAGGTAAAGAATGCCACAGTCCTGTGTTTTTTCTCAAGTGGTAGATTGCTTTGTCTCCCGTTCAAAATTTGCACTGCCTTTCCCTTCTGTAAAAACCAGGTAATAGCCTGCAACTCTCCCAGGAGCGTTGTTATCATCCTTGTCCACAGTGTGCTGTACCCAATTCCTTCAAGACCCAAAACAGATTAGCACTAAGGTGAGATCCTATTCAGACTTGTACCGCTTCCGTATGAGCTTATAGTTGATAGCGCTGGGCACCACTTAGCAATAAATGCATACTTTTTAATGACAAAAATAGCTAGCAGTTATGTGCTTGAAAACTCAGCTGTCATGGCTGTTCATCCTTTTCCGTTACGCCACCAAGCTAAGAATTTGTGTTCCAAGTTGTAGCAGGCAAAGCTTCAGGTGACAAAGGGGCCCTGACCTCATTCCACGACAGCTATTTCAAGTGGCGCCTTGAAGCTCGGCATGACACCACTTTGACATGACACCATTTCTCTGCAAGTGAGGCCAGAAAGAAATTGCTGCTTAGGAAGAAGCAGACTTGCAGAATTTTCTCGTGGGTCACAGCTAACCCTAACTTCTGGGTGATTTCTGCCAGGAGGGGGATTGGCTGGCACGAGGTAGGCAAGCAAAAGGAAGGCTGCGTAGCAAAAAAAAAAAAAATCTCTCAAAGGTATTTCCTTGGCAGAACCAGAACCGCCTTTCGGCTTCCCTGCTTCTTTGGAAAGTTTCTCTTGACAAACTGAGTGACAAATTTTAGAATGATGGCTGTACAGGGTCAGCCAGTGCCTGAGGAGCGTACCCAGAACAGCAAGGTGGTTTGTAGCCTCATGGGTTCCACAGAATTAAGACTATGGGTCTACTGGAGTAGTGATCCTAGGAAAGAGCAAATGTGTGCACTGAAAACGTGTTTAATTTTGAAAGGCAATCACAGAAGGTATCCTACAGAAGCTAGGGAAAAAGCTCAATTTCAATACAAATTTTCATCCAGAAGATTTATTTTAGGTATAGCTCATTTTATTCAAAACAAACTTGGTGCAGGTGTGTTTCCAAACTTCACTTGGTTTAAAGTTAAAACATCAAAATCATCTCTGTGAGTTTTGACTAAAGTGCAGAAAAGCCCTGTGTCAACCCCAGGTCACCTCAGAAAAGTTCACACACACTTCAGGTAATTACTTTGTGGCTCATGATTTGGCGTAAATATTTCACATGATTTTAAGACCTTCCAAGCTTTAATTCTTTCTGCCTTCTGAACTACAATGTTGCCAATACAACGTCAATGACAGTGTATTACAGCTGTATCTGTGGCTATCTAAATCCCTGCGTTTGGTATAATTGTAATTCTCATCAAAATCTTTACTGAGGGTAAAAGTTATCAATTTGAGAACAAAGCAAATAAAATGCTTAAAGTAACATAAAAAGCCAATGATTGTTAAGCAGAGATTATCCATGTCATTATAAATTGGCATATATTGGAACAGTACTGGTTTTGTCATTTTTATGAATAATGCATTAAACAGAAATAATCAAGTGCGTTGCAACAATTTAAGATTAAGCGGATTATTTCATTTCTTCAGTAACAGTTTCCTTATCTTGGTTTTTCCATAATTTGAAATTTGGAATGCTTTTTATGAATATTTTTCCTAAGCCATGATTTCTTCAATTAGATATATTAATATGTCTTTTTGAAAACTTGACACCTACATGCAAGGGGAAAAGTTGCCACTTAGCAAATGAAAGAAGATATGGCAAAGCATCTTAAGTGACTTAGTTGCATATATTTCCTGTTCTTTAAAAAAAAAAAAAAATAGAGGGGGAGGAGAGGAGGTGGGAAGGAAAAGAGAGGGGCGAGGGAAAACCAGAGGCGCTCAGAGATTGTTTTAGCTTGGACAGAAGCCACTGAGGCGGGAGCAAACGGTGGCTCTGCAAGGGACAGGGGCGCTACAGATGTCACGTGTTCCGTGGTGCAATAGCAATGTCATGCTGCAGCAGGCTTCTTCACTTTGGGGTTTTGTGGAAAAGCCAGAGCTACAGCCAGCAGGGCCACGATGCAGAAAAGCGTATAAACTAACCGCTAAGTAAATTCATATTCAATGAATCATTCTTCTGTTTAAATAAATCATTTGAAATGCGCGTGTTGCTGAAGCGGGGCCTAATCATAAGCCACTCTGCAGTATCTTCTTCTCTGGCTTCATGGTTCCTTTGGCCTGAACACAATAATTACATATCGGCAATTTATGTAATGAATATTCATAATTTTCTCCAAAGCTTTAAGACTGCTTTTTTTATTTTATTTTATTGGACAGACATGCCCTACCTCTATCTCAATAGTATGCTATAGCTTACATTGGCTGTTGCAAGTAGTGTTGCTTGGTGCATGAATGGTTTAATTTTTCTACATCTCTCTTACAGGATGCTGTTGTCAGTAAGTGGAGAAAAGTTGCCAGATCCTCCTGTAGTTATCTTTTTACTAAGCGGAAGCCTTTCAGGAGCTCAGGGTTTCAATTATAACTGCTGTTTGGTGTCTTTTTCTCTTGAAAAAGTAGAGTCGAAATTCGCCAAACACCACGTGAAAAAAAATGGATATTGAGCCTGTTGGGTTTCACCAGATCCTGTCAGTAGACTGAAACAGTGTCATGTAGTGATTGTTATACAGAAAACCAGCAGCATCATGAGATGCTTGTATGGTGCTTTGAAACTGTGTTTATAGCTGTATGCCAGGAAAGATGTCGTAGGATACTGAATAAACTGTACGAAACTTTAACGTATTCATAGGGGAAGACTCTAGAATGTAATTGTTTCCTGCCAGATTATTGGCAATTTTAGGTATCACTGGAGAGGGTCAAAATTCCAGTGACCCGTGTAAGATCACATATGGGGTATATTAAATCTCTTCTTCCTAAGAAACTTCTGAAATACTTCAGCACAGCAGATGAGCATAAATGCAAATCCAAAGACACACCTTTTATGGCTCTTTTACATTTAATTCCTAAATTGATTGAAAATAATTTTTTTAAACAGAATATTATTGCTGAACATGAAATCCGTAACATTTCCTGTGCTGCACAAGACCCTGAAGACCTTTCTACATTTGCGTACATCACTAAAGACTTGAAGACTAATCATCACTACTGCCATGTATTCACTGCGTTCGATGTGGTGAGTTTACAGAAGATACTTCATTTAATAGTTCTTTGTAATAGTGATAGTTCTTTAGTTCTACTTAAACGTTTTCAGAGTGTATGGGGATTAATGGAAGGTATTATTCATTTACCACATTAAAAGACTAAGCTACTATGGGATAGTAAAAGAACATTTCTGGAGAAGAGCAAAGCTCTTTTTCATTTCTTTTTCATTTTCATTTAATTCCCCATCCGAAATAACCCACTTCTGTAACCTCAGCTGTCGACCACAAACTTAGCAAGTAGCTTTTCACACACGTCTTGACACATAATTCTTCTAACCAAAGATGTAGCCTTCCAAGAAGTTTATACCAAGCAGGTTTGGCCACCCATTCTGAAATCTCAGCACACACCAAATAAAAGAATCGGAACTGGATCAATGCACATTATATGTGGTGCTCAATCCTTCTAAGAAAGAGGTAGGTTCAGGAACTAGGTCTGCAGTGTCTCCTGCATTTTTTACTATGTTGTACTGTCTGTGTAGTCAGGGAAGGACTGGTTTGGTGATGTCCAGGCTTTTACCCTCATGCCAGCCAACAAGGGGTGAGAGGGTTGGACACTTTCTTGCGGGGGGGCCTTTGAGCTTGGACACTTCCCGCATGCACGATGCAGATGTGGGCTGATCAGATGTTACCACTGCAACTGATTTCTTCAGATTTCTTAGCCCTGCTGTTCCATGAGTTTTAGTGTGTCAGTGTTAAGCTGGATCAGTCCCAATAACTCAAACATCTCCGAATATTGTTTAGACTTTTTGACGTTATATCGAGTGAACTGGAAAACTGAAGCTTCCTCTGGAAATGTGTAGAGAATGTATGAAAAGTTTTGTATTTACTTTAACCAGAGAACTGAAACACTTACAGATCTGACAAAGAGGAGACCACATAGGTAGCTAATTGCATCTCGCAAGAGGTCCTAGGAATATTTGGCTACCACACTGAATCTGAAAGATTTGAAACATCTGTGATAACAGAGATTTGTGCAGAGTATTGTCCTTTCTGCATTCCTGTGTAAGAGGTTACCCCTGTAACCATCACCAGATTATTAGTACTATTAGATGGCCCCTCTGTTGATCTCTGTTCTCTAACGTATCAGTGGGAGTTTTAGCTTAACAAATAATGCAGATATGGAATTTGGGGAAATTTTACTTTAGCAGCACCTTTTCCTTTTCAAAAAAGGTGCATTTATTTTGAAAAATAGCAAATTAATGCTTTAATTCTTACTTTCTTGTTCCAACCTTCTTGCCTAAAAAAAAAAATCTCAGAAATGTTATTTCAGAAAAAGTCCTCGTAGCTCCTGTTATTTTGGTTGAAAATGACTAAGTTCTTCCTATAATTATGCTTCTCAGTGGTGATGCACAGACTACTAGTGTTTCAAGAAATCATGAATACTTATCAATTAGTCATATTGTTTTCAGCTAAATTTGATTAAATAAGTAATGGCTCTAATTTTTAGGACTAAGAGGGCTTATTGTCCAAAAATTTCAGGAATATTTGCCATTTGAGTTAAGCACAAGAGAAATTTAAAATGCTATTAAAACTTTAAATCATTCAACAAAAAATATTTTCATATACTGTAATGTGTATGAATTCTTGAAACATGCTTACACAAATATAATTAAGTTAAAAGATATGTCTGAACTGAGACATTTTATTGGTGACTGGGGAAATTGCAGAGCGATAGCATGTAGGATAGTTTAAATAAAAAGATGTACAGGAAGGTATGTCAGAAGGAATTTTAGTGTTTTGGTTCAGTGCTTTTGTTGTTTAACTCCTCTGCTGACATTTTAGTGTCCACAGGGAGTAGAAGAAACTTCAAAATGATGTTAAAAATAGATAGAGCGTAGTCAACAAGATGTTACATTATATAGATTTTAGTGATAAGTGAATCAACTGAAATTAGACTGATTGAGTGAGGTTATTATTCCTCTTGATCCATTTAAATACTTCCTAATGTTTTCAAAGTACTGCAGTTTCATTTATAGGTTTAATAATCAAGCACAAACATAGACCCAGGTTTAGCAGATGAAATTCATTTTCTCCCTGCTTGGCAAGGAAAGAATAGTGATCCCGGAATAACTGCAACATCTTGCTCACTTCTTCTACCTTAGGAGGAACATTTAATACTCCAAGCACTTTAAACGGCTATTTTAAGCAATACGGAAACTTTAATGTCTAAATGTCTTAACTTAGTTTTCTCCTGCAATGTAATCCTCACTGGGGCGTTACCTACTCAAATATTCTCTTTTTGTGTTGTTTCGTTTCTCAGGATCTAGCATTTCTGATGAAAGTACAAGCTCCATAAAAAAATAGCTAGATATTCAGAACACAAGCATACAGTAAATTAAATTTTCTATTTAAAGTCTAACACTTAGTTAGCCTGATCTTCCAGTTTGCTGATAGAAACAGTCCTAACCATTTGTTGACGGACAGGAGCTCAATCATATTAAGAAAAACAATGTTTAAAATGGTATAAATCCACAATAAGGTATAAAAAAAGCATTTAAAATCATATATATTATGGTAATACTATATATGCAATGGTACGAAAAAAATCTCACTGTCTTAGGTCCTTCAGTTCCTCAGGAAATGTGGGCAAGAACAATTTTTTTGCAGATAGGAAAGCATTTTAGTGTAGTGACATGTCAACTACCAGCATTACTGACACTTAACTGTTTAGGAGTGACTGTACATGTAACTTCGCTACTCAGAGTTAAAATTCTATAATCAAAATTACAAAAATATCAGACGATTAAAGAATACTGAAGGGGACAAGGTTTGGGGGAAGAGGAGGATTTATTACTCAATATTTGAAATCCACTCTCATTCACTTATAAAGCAGCCCTAAAACTGTGAAGGAAAAAAAGAAGTAAAGGATTCCCTTTGGAGAAACAAACCACCATAACAGTTCCTATACCAAAACCTGGTTCATATATGGGAGACATCCAAAGTAATTTCCATCAGATATTGGGCAAACTCCTTGAGATGGAGCACACTCAGGTACAAGGAGCTTTCAGCTCATGAGCAAATTAATCTCTCCTCTGTCATCTACATTGACTGCTTTGGCAACAGCCTGAAAGGCCCATTTTGAAGGCCCATTTTCATCGTCCCATTGCATACAAGATATCATTCTGTGCCATATTAGAAGAAAGGGATGGATTCATTGGCGTTTGCTTTCCACGATTGCTTTAAATCCAGAAGAAGAAACAATCAAGACTTTTAAGTTGCAGGAGTGCCTGATCATGAAAGTCTCGTGCGGCCCAGGAGTCCACAGGTGTTATAAGCAAGTGCCAGCCATGTTGGTCTCATCATACCGTCTTTACCAAGCTGAGCTTTCTCCCCCTTGAATGTAGAAAGGCTGACACATTGGAAAGCACACACAGATCCATGTCCTTTCTAGGTCCCCCCAAAAGTAAAAGTTGTGAAGTCTGGAGGGATAAGGCATATGTGCACTTAATTGTGTAAATGTATACGTATGTCAGCTCTGCATCTGAAAGAACTCCCGTTACCAGTAAGTAACCTTCTCTTCTTGTCAGGCTCTTAAGTAGAAATCCTCAACGTTTGGCCTGGAAGATTTTGTTCTAAGAAGTAGGCAACTGATTTTGTCTCAGGGGATGGATATTTTAAACTGGGGTGGGATTTTTCAGATTTTTTTTGAGTTAGGATTCCATATACTCTGTTCCGTTTGACTGCTGCCAACTGTGATTTTAAGTTCAGTACCTTGAACGCAGGGTGTCCTAATTGGCATTCCTACACATCCAGTGTGATGGGTAGCTCACACTAATCAACTGAGAGGCTCCAAAGGAAGCTTCTTTAGTAAATTCGGTCTCCAAAAAAGACCAGATTTGACATTGATCTTAATGAAGGAAAAAAAAATCGTCACCTAAAAGCAAAAACCTGTAAAATCCTCATTATGTGAAAAGTGCTTTCCCAAAAAGGCAAAATGTTAGTTTTTCCAAAAATTCCTTTGCAGGTGACATTTTAAGTTGTTATAGCTCAAAAGACGGAAATCTTACTTCTTTCTCTGCCTCAACATAGCTTTATAGAAGCATGAAAACACAGTGAAGCAGCAGTGCCTGATGCAACTTATGCAGTAAAAAAGTCACCTAAAATGTAACAGAACAATTAGCCATTGTAATCGGTTGGCTTAATTAAAGCAGCTGAAGAATCCTGACTCAGACTTGCACTGGGGCATTGAATTGTAACGTTACGTGGCAAACAAGGCAATTGACCTCAATTTCTCATCTCTCAGAAATTATTGCTTAAAGACGTTGGCTTACTCACTTGCCTTCGCTGCTGTGCCATGCAAAGAACAGGCCTGTAGCAGCCTCAGGACCACCATGGTAAAAGTTTTGCCTCCTTTCCAAGGAGCGTGACAGGGTGCTGTAAGGGTCAATGTCTTCTACAATGATCAGGGGGTCTACAACTTTTGTGCTAAGCGTCTTTGGGGGATGCAGACCGGTTTCCTTCCTTTTGTGCCATATGTGAAAAACCCAAATGGTCTCCTCACTCCATCATCAGCAGAATTTCCGCAATTACTTTTGTGTCTTGGTTTTCCGCCCCCATCCCCAAGGGAATCCTGCTCATAACTCGCCGGTATAGCCCATGGAAGAATCCTCACAAACTCTAATCCTCTCCCAGGACTACAGGTGAGAAAGTCCTCAAACCAAACTAACTTACTTAAGGTTTTTTTTTTTCAAAATACAATTTTGCAGATGCCTTTTTTAAATTTTACAAGGTACAATTTGAAAGCCCTTCTCGCCTCCATTTACAGACTTCTTCAAGGCTCTACTGCAGCATGCAATGTATGAAATTTATGTTCAAGTTACAGTTCAGTTTACATTTTGAATATTGAACAGAACAGTGAATGTTCTATTTGCTATCTTTCAAATATTTATTAACCACAGAAACAGTTACATGTTTCCAATGGCTTTCAGGCTCCAGGCAGGCCTATTTTTTTTCATTTTACAGACTACAAAAGAAAACAAATCATAGCGGCTTCTGATGAGATGCAGGACCCAGACTAGATTTATGGCTCAGCATGGCGAACTCTCTGCCTGTCTCCACTCTTATCTCAGAGCTTTTCAGGCCTGTCTCTTGGTGACCTTTCTGTATGCCACACCGGATGGTGCATTTTCGCAGTCCCACTAGTATTACAGTCTACTTTTTCTCCAAACCATTACTACACCCTGTCCTGTTGATGTATTCCTTAGCAATAATAATATCCACTGTAGACAATCCTGTGAACATATAGTACCCTATCTTACTGTCACGACAGCAGATTAAGATGTCTTTAGAATAATATTCTTGTGCTGCTAATAGGTGCACTCAATTTCAAATAATATTATTCATACATTTTTAACAATTATACTCTGTTGGTCTTAATTCCATAGCCAGCGTTCTGCTAAAAGGCAGGGCACTTTGTAGTAATAGACTCTTTAGCCTTTCATTTATTACTCCACTGGCAAATTGCATCCTCAGTGTTTCTCAGCCCTGGCCGAGTTTCCTTACGTTAAAGAGGAGACAATTTGGAGACTACTGCTATCAAATCAGGCAGATGTTTTTATTTGGGAAGCTATGAAAGGTTGGCTAGCGTGTGGTTGTGACTGCAGTTGCAACGGCCGAGAGCATCTCCCCGTGGAGGGGTATAATTGTTTTCTGTCTGACCTAACAAAGACCAGAGCTGGCACCTTTAGAAGCAGCTTTTCTAATGAGCTAATTATACTGAATTTAGCTATACTATCTCGCTATACATGCGTGATCACGAAGGGATGGCATTTCTTCATGACTAGAGTGAAATTACAGTGTAGGGCATGAAACAAAATGCGTACCCTTTTAACTGTGTTTTAACGACTGCAGGGTGGACGGTGTACTGCCAAGCATCTTGCATTGCTTTCTGCTTTATTGCAAACTCAACAGTTAGGCTTGACTAGCTAAAGAGGTATCTCATTCAAAATTATATCAGAAACGTGGGAATTTTAAGGGATGGCCTAGTTTCAAAGCAATGCAAGATTGCTCCGAGCTATGGGCTGCCAGAGGTTTGGGAAGGAGAGGGTAACTCTGAATTACATCAAAGATTTATGAATTATTTTAAGGAGACTGTAGGACATAAGGAAGCAAGCCAGCAGGCTTGCAATTGCTCTGCGGCAGGGGGCGCGAAACATTACTGGAAAGTTAGGACCTGAGAAATAGGCTCTAGTAGGTACCTACAAAACAAACCCACAAACCTGAAAAAAAATGACCATAGAAATTCAGCTGCAGTTTAGATTAAGGTCAAATTTGAAACTAACAGCTGCTTTTTAGTTGATGGAAAACTATACTGAAAAAATATTTATACCAACCCCCCTTAGATCCTCATTCATGCTTCATAAACTTTTCAACAGGTTTTCTTCCATGTATGCGATGAGAACTTACCACCAAACTGGTCTTAAGAGCGTGAGTTCCTTGGCCATACATACTAACCCCCACGCTCACGAGCGTATGCCAACATGCCAGTTTAAGCTCAAACATTTTTACTTCTAGAAAACAAATTCACGAGAAGGTTGCACCAGCACTTGAAACATGCATCCAAAGCAGAGCACTGACTGTCGCGCGTGCATAGGTGCACTGCACCCGTGAAGCATCACGTGTACTTTCAACATTTGCTTTTTGGCCTCTGGGATGCACCACCCCAATGCTGCATCCTCTTCCTGTGCTGCTCGGTGAGAGCACAGAGCATCCCGCGGCGCACGCCCGGGGAAAGCATGCGTCGGGCTGCCAGCTCTGGAGGAGGCTGGGTCAGCAGAGGAGGTCCGAAATAGAGCAGTGTGGAATGTCAAATGTAGGTGCAATAGTGCAAGATGGGTGGGATCTTGAGAGCAGCAGATACGGGGTGAGCTGTGAAGGTGGAGGGGAGGGGGTAATGTTCTAAAAAGAGACAACACACAGTCACCCACTCCTGTTTTCATGTTGCGTGAGACAATGTTTTCAACGTTTTTAGAAGTAATTACTTTCAGTACAATAAATCATGTTTAGATTGTTTTTAATCAATGAGAAATCAAATTACAGATGTCTCTATTGCAGAGACTTAGGAAGTTATTACCAGTGTTATTTTAATTATTTACATTACAAAGCACATCTGTAGTAGTACCCCACTTCATGTATCCGATGATACTTCAACCTCACTCCAATTTTAACTGTTTTTGTTTTGTTCCAGAATTTAGCTTACGAAATCATTCTTACGCTAGGACAAGCATTTGAGGTGGCCTATCAGCTTGCCCTACAAGCACGAAAAGGGGGCCATTCTTCAACTCTCCCAGAAAGCTTTGAAAATAAACCCTCCAAGCCTATTCCCAAACCACGTGTTAGTATTCGGAAGTCAGTGGTAAGTAGAACGTAGCGGTGCATGCAGACAACAAAATTCAGTTGTACAGCTAGGAGTTGATATGCGTAGAAGCTGTATAGGTCAATAAACCGGTTGAGTCAGAGACGCTCCATGTCTCCGTTGTGCCACCTCTGCTCGTCAGCCGGTAGGGCTGTGTCACTCCAGCGCGGGCAACCGCTTCGAACAACGGCTCATTTCAGACTCCTCCAGTTTCAGATGTTGCTTGGCTAGTGCTGAGCATATGTCTTCTAGAGTAACTGCAGAGCGTGAATTAATTCGGTCTAATTCTTATGTATTGTGCTTTTTTAAGTGCTGAGGATGACAGCCAAAGCATATTTCTAAAACTGGTTCCGTGGACTTCCCTGATCTTGTATCAAGAAATAAAATCAGCACCAAACTTGTCTGATACACGGTCACTGCATATGTATCTATCTCAATCAAATTACTGACAATTACCCTTTATTTTTTTTTATGGCCCTCAGTTGACACTCCTGTTCCAAAACTGGGATTCAACGTAGCTTTTCAATATTTTCTTTGTAATCCCAAACTCATAAGAATCCAAGTTCATGGGAGCCTACACATTGATTGTCTTTAAAATGCCCTCCTGAAGTGCATAGATGACAGAGAAGTATTCTTTTATGGTAGAGCTTTTAAAAAAATCATGAAAACTATTTTAAATCAAGTGAGAATACAGGCAACAGGGTGGCTTGGGAGGGAAAGGGGAAGAATGACCGCACGCTGTATTATATTCACTGGCTATAAAGTGAGAACCATACTCTGTGATATTTAATTATTGCATGAGAGGAAGGCGAGGGGATGGGGGGGGAATGTATGGCTGTACACTATGTTGTCCATTGCCACAGAATCTTTATCCTTAAAATTTTAGAGAAAGAACATTTCCTGATGCCATCATCTGTCTCGGTAACAAAAGGACTTTTCGGGATCAAGTCTAGGTTTAAACATAGCTTGGGGATAGGCAAAGGTCTGGTCTAAAGAGGAAAAAGGTGACAACCGTGGGTAGGTGGGAGCGTAGGCCAGTGCACTTGCTGCTGTAGGACCTTGTCGATAAGGATTTATTGTGTGTTCCATTTTTTTAAAGAAAAAAATGTCTGCTAGAAAACTCTGTGTGCAGAGACAGTAAGCAGTGCATGTGTTTGCATTTGTCTTGCAGCAGATAGATCCATCGGAACAAAAGACTCTTGCGAATCTACCATGGATTGTTGAACCTGGACAAGAAGCCAAAAGAGGCATTAATACCAAGTATGAAACTACAATTTTCTGATACAAAACTGTCCCCCCCGTTCCTTGTTGTGCCTTGCACGCCAAGCAGTCACAGCACAGCCTTTCCTTTATGGCAACGTTTCAATCCAGCAGCGAGGAAGACTGCACTGTATGAGTGGCCTTGTAACTAACAAAAAAGGCTGACGGTCATTTCTGGTGATGTTCTTCTTCCTGCAGCACTGACAGAAGAATGACACTATACGAAGACTTTTAAAATTACAGTCCACAAGAGGAGTGAGAAACCTTATTTTTCACGCAGTTCTCCCTTGTGACTCTGCCACAGTGCTTTCTTTGATTTCTTATTTTAGAATTCTACTTTTTAAAAAAAAAAAAAAAACCAACACAAAAGGTCTCTAAACTAACACTAAATGCTGCCTATGAGTAGAATATTTGATTGGTTTTTTATTTAAATCTTGGCAGTTTTTAATTGAAATAGAACCAGAATTAATAGAGTATTTGTGAAACCACTGAATTCATTAATAATTACTGTGTTGAATAAAGAACTCATTAAAGTGACAAGAAATTAGGCACCCTGATTTCTGTGTGCGCTGGTTTTATATGTAATCATTGGTGTCCTTTGATCCTCTACAGAAATAGGAACCTCTTGCATTGTAGCAAAGGATCAGAGTTTTATGAACGGTTAGAAAAAGGTGTTAATAATGCACAGAAAACATTTATTAGATATTTTTTATGGAAGAGAAGTACTATAGGAAAACATATGAATATTTATGGAAGGAAGCCAGATTAATTATGACAAATATTGTTTATTTTAAAGTTAAGTAAGCCACTGCTATTGCAGCATTATGAAAATTGTAAGACTTGTAGCATCAGTGCACTGGATGTTCCGTGTGATCAGTCTGGAATGAAAGTGGAATGGTCATTCTACTACACCTACATATATAATTTATGCAGTTCAACATTGCTATAGCCATGACTTCTACTAGTATTTTTAAAAAAAATAATCTCAGTGGTTCTAAAAAAAGTCAAAAGCATGGATTTTGCTATCAAGATTTCTGCCACAGAAAGCTTGTTTGG